AAATAGCTGAGTCTAAAGGAGTTACACAAAAAGCAGAATTCTATAATGAAACAGAATTATACTTCCCACATGAATAGTAGGCTTTTTTATTTTTTTAAGACTGAAATATTATGTCAGAAATGTTTTTTCTTTTCTCTATGATACAGGTACCTAGCATGGTATCTCCGTGTGTGTGTGTGTGTGTGTGTGTGTGTGTGTGTGTGCTTTCCAGATACCATGAGGAATGGATAGAAGCTTCCTAACTTTTCTGTTTGACAACATGCCAGTTGTTGTCATGGCTTATTAATTATGAAAACTTGTCTTTCTCAGGGCAGTGATGGTGTTTCTTCTACACAGGCTTCTTCTATTCTGTATGGCTTTGTAAGATGTGGCATAGTTCTTTCTCCGTGTGTGTGTGTGTGTGTGTGTGTGTGTGTGTGTGTAGCAGAGCCATTTTCTTTGGTTTGGTTTTGATATTCTGGAGCCTTCTAATTTAATTTGATTTGCTCTGGTTATTTGATGAACCAGTGCCTAACCTGGTCAGTTAACATCCAAATTCAACTTGAGGTCTCTATGGCACTCCAGTTTCCTGGGACATATATGTGGTAAAAGGCCAGAGATTAAAAATAGTTTCTAAATTACTAATCCAGATAATTGAAATAACTGTACTTAAAATGTTTTATCTTCTCATTTTTATTATTTCAATTATGAGAAGAAGTTGACAAACCAATTTATGTGTGTATACTGGGCAGTATTTCCTTGTAGATAAATGAGTGTAAACTAAAGAGAAAGCAAAAAATGATTAAGTGTGATTTTCAGTATTTATGTTGTGTCTTCTCCCCTCCCACCCAATTCCTCCAATTGTCTCCAAGATTAAAAATAAGTATTGTTTCTATGGGTGTTTTTATTTGTTAGCTTTTAAGATTTTTTTCTCCTTCCCATCACATGCCATGCCCCTTAGGAGTGAAAGAAAGTAATGATGCCAGTCATTTTAGCAGCCTTCCAGCACTCAGGTGATACACAGGCGTTCCGGAGGAGAGCAGTCTGCACCAGGCAGCCTTACACAGCGTGGAGGGGCGTTCAGCAGCACTTGTTTGTGCTGACAATGTTTTGCCACTTGCTGGCATTCAGGTGGCAACATGCCCATACTAGCAGCATCCCATGGCCCAAGCTCAGCTGTGTTTCTGCCACTCGGCAGGTTTATGCACACCTGGGGTCGGCCACTCCCAGTTGGTATCAGTCAACAGTGTATCATCACAGTGTGTGTGTGTGTGTGTGTGTGTGTGTGTGTGTGTGAGAGAGAGAGAGAGAGATTCGGTTTTGTATGCTAGCATTCTTTAAATGTCTGCCACAAGTTTAATTTGCATTTCTGATCCCTGAAGGCAGCTAGACAGAATCATTCTAGTTCTTCATAAATTTCCTTCTATGATTCATTGTTAACTCAGAAAACATACTCATTTCTAGATACTCAAAACAGTTAAGGTAGTTACAGTATCGCAGACATAATCTTTTCATTATATTTAAATTGTCATTTGAGAAATCAAGAAATAGGTTGAACTCCCAGTGAAGGCACGAGCCTTGTAGCACACAAAAAACATCAGAAATTACTGTGTGTTTTTCTCAAGGAGGGTAAGGGAGATGGCACAGAATTAGGGGCCAAAAGTTTTAGTTTTGACTGAATACTCTCAAAGAGGGATCCATAAATATTAGAACTCTGTAGTTAAAAACTCACATGACTGTTTTAAATACTATTGATTTAAACCACTAGCTAGGTTTTATGAATCAAAGTGTAATTTCTGAGCTTTGACCATATTTCTCAATGCTAAAGCACTCTCTCTTGTGTGCCTTTAGCCGCTTTCCAGACATTCAACACAGGATTAAATGATAGTAGTTACAGTGATCAATAGGTTAAGACGGTACAATCCCTCTTGCTGCTAATGACCTCAGTAGTAATGGGCAATAAAGTGTGGGCTCTAATAGCCTCTCCCCGGTGCTGCCTGCCCTGTGATTCCTAGTGTTGGTAGGGACCGGCCACAGGAAAAACTGGAACGTTGGGAGTTAAGGGAGTGGATATCTAGGCTATAATTTTTAACTATTTAAAGCCTTAAACTATGCCTCGCTCCCCCCCCCCCCCCCCCCGCTTCTCTACCCTACCCTGCTTTTCTACCCTATAATGTTTTCTGACCATTTGAGTATTTTTGCTAAAGCTTTCCATAACCAATTTTCATGACATGTTGAAACTTTGAAGAAAGGAAATCTCAGTTTTAACACATTTATAAATAAGTTCAAATCCACTCTGGAGGCTCGGAGCTAGCTGGTGTTAATGTGGTTTCAGATATAAAAGCAGAGGTAGGGCCATCGGGCTCTGAGAGCCACTGTGATGATTCAGAGCTGTCCGCAGGCTGGGGAGGGTCACTCAGGCTTCTTCCCTCTTTCCTTCGGCTGCCCTGCTGCTTTCGGCATTTTAAGACTCATCAGCACCTCCATCCAGTGTCCAAAGGGAAAAGGAGGGACCCAAGTTCCCTTTTTTGTTCTGTAACACAAATACAAAAATGGAATAAATAACTGTGGGAAGAGTTAAGGGTTTTAAAATTATCTTCATATATGTCAGCTCTCTTTTAACTTTTTAACTTGATTTAATTGAAGTATCATTTACATACTTTAAAATACACTCATTTTACCTGCACATTGGAAGATTTTTTGGTAATTTTATACATCCCTGTGACTGCCAGCTCAGTCAAGATAGAGGACATTTAGATTAGCCCCCTCGTAGCCATTCTAGCAGAGGCTTTCCTAGTTATTCTAAAAATTCTGACCAAGGTGCTGTTGCTATGATGATTTCTGTTGTAACAGTGTTAATTTCATGTTCATCACCAGTTCAGATCTTACACCACCCTATTCCTGTCCATTTTCCTGTTCATCACCATCAGAAATTTGGCTCAAGGATATTTATATTGTACATCATCCAAGAAACACAGAGGAAAAAAGAAACCTTAAACTTGGTTCTTTTGTTTGCTTAATCAAGCGTCCCTGTGTGATGATGCAACTCTCAAGGAAAAGTAAACTTCTATTGTGATGTTAGCTTTACAGCTCAAGATAGTGATTGGCATCCAAATACATTGAAAATTTCAAAATGCTTTTTCTATATGAAGACAAAGTAGAGTAACTGGGATTAGCGCCTGGATGGTTAGGTGTGTTGATGGATTCTTGGTGTTTTCTCTAGAGTGAATGGAAGTCCACTGAGAACCACTGTGGTATTTTGTGCTTCCAAGTGTCTTTTTAAAAGGATAATTTATCCACTCATATACATCTGTCCCTTTCTGCATGTAAGAATATTCAGACATTCCCATCTGTTTTAAATTACAATGTATCTACATCTACATTTGAAAGGCCGTGCAATAGGAAGACTGTGATGACCTTCATGAGTTGGGTTAGTGAGAATTTTCAAATGTTCTGGGTAGTGTTTTCCAAACAATGAGAAACTTCCACATAAATATCCTCACAGAGAAACATGCTGGAGACAGCAGTGAAGGGTGTTTGCTGTACATGGATCTGACCTTCAGGAACCATTTTTAGTTCATCAAAATTAGTGATGCTGAGAAATCGGGACATCAGTGCATAATGACTGTGAAATTAGGAATGAGAGCTCGCTATGCAAATGACAGGACAAATCAAGTGAAAAAGTCAAGATAAACTGCATATTAAGACATTATGTTACATAAAATTAATACTGCATTTCTCGCTTTTGCTTACTGCTGCCCTGCAAGATTTTTAAAACTCTTTTATCTTCTGATCAGCTATTGTCTGCCAGATTTTTTTTTAAATGGCACACAGGCAAAGTGCAAAACATGTTATTACCTTTTATTGTAATGCATGAGATGACAGCAGATCCTTTTTAACAGAGTATATCCTTTACTGCTTCTTGCTGTCACATGTTTGATTAAAAACTAAAGAAAAGTACGATGCTTAAATATTACTATTAGAAGACATACAGGTTTTGTCTTTTCTTTTTTTGTTATTTTGGTTTTTTTTTCTTTCCTTATCTTTTTTATTTGGGGTGATTTTTCATGAAACAGTCTTGTATTACCGGGTCTGACAAAATGGTTCTCATGTAGTCTGCAAATGAGACACAAGTGCAGCGATTATTTTGAATAGCTAAATTACATTCTCGAAAGCTTGCAGAATTCACAGCATTGTCATTAGGTATCCGCCTGAATACAATTTGTGTAACCTTGGCCAAGACAGCCTGTCATTTTAATGTCAGTGTTTTATCTGAACAAGACATCATCCTTTCAGATACTGTGTGCAGGTTCCTTGCAGAGATGCCCGTGCAGAAGCGTGTTAACAGTTGCAAATATGAAATGCTATCAAGTTCATCACCAGCGCTGTTTGTCACTGAAATGTCATGGGAAGCAGCTCGCCTGGTATCACACAGAGAGTGGAGGAATTGAGACATCTGTGTGCGGTTGAATGAGGAAGGGGAAAGGCTCCTAGGAAGGTCTGTGCTGGAGTGCAGGAGGCGCCCTCCGAGGGCTCAGCCGTGCAGGAGGCTAAGCATCCCTTGATCTGATCATCCTTAAAATTGCGGTCCACAGAGGAAGTGGGTCCTGTGAGCTCCAGCTGTGGAGGCACTGGTTCCCACTTGCCTTCTTCTCTAAAGCAAAATTTGTTTGTGATAACTTTATTGTGACGGAAAACTCATTCTTAACAAGAAATTGAGATCCTTCTAACCTACCTCCAGATCTGCCTGAGTCCTTGTCTGCTTGAGAGGCTGCCTGGAACAGCTGTCAGTGCTGCAGGGGTTTCTTTTGTTGTTGTTGTTGTTTTTGTTGTTATTATTATTTTACTTAAACTAAACTTCCTAACAGATTCAATAGGATCTGTTGCTGCATCCCCTCTGGATCGCACCCTGCATGGGAAATCGGTCAGTTCTTGAAGCCAGCGGCCTGCAGCTGCTAAGCCTGGAAGGGCTGAGTGCTGTGCGTTCCCTGGCTCCTGCTCACGCTGTGTTAACCTTCCAGGTGCCCGTGTCAGTGGCTATGATGACACCTCAAGTGATCACCCCCCAGCAGATGCAGCAGATCCTGCAGCAGCAAGTGCTGAGCCCTCAGCAGCTCCAGGTGCTCCTGCAGCAGCAGCAGGCCCTCATGCTCCAGCAGGTAACCGTCTTCCCAGCTCCCCCTGCCCCCTGCCCCCTGGTCAGCTCCAGGCCGGCCTCACCTGAGCGGAGGCCCCCTCCTGGAGGCACAGGCGGAGCCAGAGGGGAGGCAGGCCGCTGGGCCCTGAAGAACCAATGGGCTGCGTCCCTGAAAGAGAGCCTGCACAGCACTAGGTTTTGGTCTGGAGAGCACCCTCTGGACTGAGATTAGGGCTGTAATTGGGCTTGGTGGAAATAAGATCTTTTAGGCTTATGTGGCTTTGCATTCTTTTATTTGGTAAGTCAGAGGCTTCTAAATGTGTGAATCAAAGCAGAGCGGAGCCGTTGGGAGCAGCGGATGGGACAGCTCTCGCAGTCCCATTTCAACTCAGAAGCTTACAGAATTTTTCTTTCAAACACAAAGACCATTTTGGGCTTGGCTAATTGTAAGGTACATAGTTGACTTTATTTCTTTCACCTGTGCTGATGCTGAAATGAATTTCTGGCTGCCACTGTACCATGAAGACCTAATCTTTAGACTTCATGGACCCCTAAACGCAAAGGATGAGACGGAGCCCTGCATGGCCCCGCTGTGGGCAGGTGCGGGCCACGGGCGGGCCGCCAGGAGCCTGGCTGCCCTCTGAGGCGCATGCGCACGGAGCCAGCCCCTCTCCCCGGCCCTGTCACTGAGAAAGCCGCCTGTTTGCAGGAGAGATTCACCAGACTCTCAGCAAGGGCGTTTGCCTTTGTTGTACAATCAAAGGTCATCCCTTGCCTTATTTTAATGAGTTTGTGTGGAAAATGGTATGTTTTTCATCAGTTCACTTGGGGGATTACTTTTCAAACAATAATGCCAAGAATAGTCAGTGCGTACTGAAATTTATTGTGGAGTTTCAAACTAAAGGTCAGGCCACTACAGATAAAAGGATCCTATTTCTCAAATCTCAGTTTGCGTATGGCACCGAGAGTGACAGTGGCGGGCACTGCCCCTGACTTACCGTCCTCTCTTTTCTTTGTAGCAGCAGCTTCAAGAGTTTTATAAAAAACAACAGGAGCAGTTGCAGCTTCAACTTTTACAACAACAACATGCTGGAAAACAGCCTAAAGAGGTACCGACAATGCTATTTTACTTTCAAACCACAGGTCCCACAGGACGATCTAGTGGCTATTAAACTGTCGTTCATCTTTTAAATGATTGCACAACTGAGCTGACTCTATCGTTCTCAGCTTCCAGACCGAGAGTTATTGTCCTGTTTTCGCTCCGGTTTTTCTGGGTCCCATGTGTTTGCTGACAGGTATTTTATAACCCTCTGCAGGTGCACCTCCTGGGAGCACTGGGCGGGGGTCCTGGGCAGAACCTCAGGCCCCTTTGCAAGATGTACCTGGGGGAAGTGAAGTGCTTTCAGGAAAACTTGATTTGGACACAGACTTGATTATTGTAGCCAGCTCAGAGAGCTTGGGTGTGTGCTGAGGTTGGATAAACAGAAAGTTCCATCAAGCCCTGGCCAGTAGGTCTCACTGGTTAGAGCATCGCCCTGCACAAGGAAGGGTCTCGGGATGGATTCCTGGTCAAGGGCACATACCTGGGTTGCAGATTTGATCCCTAGTAGGGCACATTCAGGAAGCAACCAATCAATGTGTCTTCAAAAAAAAAAAAAAAAAAAAGTCAATGGAAAAAGTATCCTCAGGTGAGGATTTATTTAAAAAAAGAAAAAAGAAAAAAAAAAAGTTAGAGCCATATTTCCCATCCCACAATCTCAGTTTAACTTTTCATGCGAGTTGTACATATCAGAACTGCTAAAAGCGAGTCAGCAGTGGCACAGCTAACGTTCGAGAAGTCTCCTGCTTGGATTATATGTGTTTTCCCAGCAAACAGTAAGGCATCGCAGCAGCTTCCATGTGCACAATGTTTTGTAAGTCCCAGTTAGGGGACGTGTTGCCTCCAGGAATGAGAAGACGTGGGGGACCTTCTGTGAGGCCCGGGTGCGGGAGGCTCAGTCATGGGGGCGTGTCTTTGTGCCTGTGCGCATTGTCAGGGCATCTGTCTACCATCCCAGAGCTGCCCCCCGTATCTTAACTCTTCATTTTCCTCAGTGCCTGGCATGCTTTTCATGTGAGTGTCTTCTCCTTGGAATGAGAGAGAACAGCTCACGGTTCAATGTAATGGCTTCTGCGTGGCCCTAAGCAGGCGGCCACTTTCCTGGGTCGGAAGCAGTCTTCCCAGGTGACTCCTCCCTCCCCCAAGTGGGCATGAGCCGGCCCTTCCCCTTTGTGGCTTCCTCTCACAACACAAATTGGGTGCATTTTCCATGCCCTGTCAAGTTTTCACCTGCAGTCCTCTTTGCAGCCTGGATGGAAGCCCCGGAGAGCAGGCGCCATTTCGGGGTGCAGGGCAGAGGTGCTCCAATGAAAGTGCTGACACATTTGTGTACAGTGGCGTGCTACCGGGCCCTGCTGTAATAGAAAAGGGAGCAGATTAAAAAGTGTCTAAAATGTAAATCTAAAGGACTAACAGTAATTAAAATGGAAATGGCACAGGGAGGGAAGGCATGTAATTGTGAGATATCACTGTGCAGGAGGCTCTCAGCTTTGTTTTGCTGGCTGTTTTTCTAATTCAGCAGGGCTTACTCATCAGTGCAGTTCAATGCGCGTTAATGACTCCGGGATTGCAGGCATCACTCTGGACAAAGAAATGATTATTGTGCGGTCAAAAGAAGTTCAAAGACAAGAAGGGAATTTCAGTTTTTTCCTTAGAGATCCACATTCAAGAGCATATAAATTAAGCCAAATGTTAAAAACCACAGTCTGAAAGCTGACTTCAAAGTCACAACTCTCTAATTAATGAACTGCGAGCTTCGGTTTGGACAAGTTGTGGTTTGATGCGCCCATAAATCAACATGACAGGCCTGTTTCACAGCCTCAGACAGTGCTTGTCATTGAGTCACATCAGATGTAAACAGCAGAGAAGAGAAGGATATGAAGGAGGTGCAATTGATCAACAGAATTGGTAAAAACCCACTTTTGAAGCACATTATGCATGATCACAGGAAATGGTTACAGCCTCCAGAGGGTTCCCTTCTGCCGCTGGGTTTTTGAGTCAGATTTCTAACAGCCTTCAAAAGGGAGAGGAAGAATTACGGAGTCTCTCCCCCGTGGCTCGCAGGCTATAACCCCCTGTTGTTATTTTGTGCTTCTTCCTTTTCAAAGGCATCAAAATTTAGTTTTTTAAAGATCTTTAACTCTATATTTGAAGACAAACAAAAAAGGGCTGCCACTGCCATTCTTATCAGTTACCAGGGATTGTGTTTTTCCTTCTGTGGCCACTTCTGATTAACCTCTTACTTGGTCTGCGAGACTTGGTTTGAAATGCGCGTCTGCATGCTGGGGGAACATGAAAGTCGAAGCGCTCAGAGGGCAGATAAGACACGCGAGGGGGAAGTTGTGCAGCAGAAGGAAGACTAAAAGCTCGCTCTCCCAAATCGCTGCTGTCAGGGGCATCTGGGCCTGCCGAATGCGTTGGTGGCGGAGCAGTCTGGGGTGGGGGAGAGGCATGCATGGTTCCTGAGCCAGGAGGTGAGACGCTCCGGGAGCATTTCAGCATCTCCAGGACATTCCGTGTGCTGTGGCCGCGCTTTGTCCTCCATTTTGAAGGCGTGGGTGACACAGGAGATGTTGCCTTCCCATCCCGAGGGGAGGCACGCTCAGGGGCAGGTCTTGGGTTCTGAGATACATGCCCAGTTCCCGGGGGATCTGGCCAAGACATGCTGTCGGCGCTGAGAGCCTCGTTTTCCCGAGGTGGTCCCCTGAATCAGCATGCAGGTGGTGGCCAAGTCACATGGCATCAATTCATGATGTGGACTGGTGGTTATGACTTTAACAAGGTTTGAACTTGGATGTTGACAGATGGAACAAGTATATTAATTCACTGAATCCCCAGTCATTAGTGGCTCATAATTTTGAATTGTCAGGTCCTCCCCCCATCCCTCCCTTTCCCTTTTTTGATTACCTTTCTATAAGGCGCTTGATCTTTGGCCAGAACAATGAACCTTTACTTGCTTTTTCCCTGAAGTTGTCTCAAAGATGTTTCCTTGAGCAAGTTGGGCTCCGCACTGAATTAGACCTGACCTTCCTGAGGGGAGAGACGCAGCCCATGTAGCTGGCTCCTCAGCAGCTGCTCACAGAATAGGTGTGGATAATAGAAGGCAGATTCCAGAGTAAGGCAAGCCACAAACAGAGTTCCCATCCTGTGTGGGTGAGGCAGGCTAAGCTGATTGTTTTAAAAGGGCCATTTGTCCCAGGCAGCTATGACAGTTTATGTTAGGCAGTAGGGAGGAGCCGAAGAAAGGAAAACAGACCTTTGACTGCAGCTCCAGGGAGGGGATCCGAAATGCAAGGTTTATCAGGGCAATGGAGCCTTTTAACGCTGCCTGCTGACCTGTGGCAGGGACTGCGCCGAGACCTTTTTTGTGTGCGTTCAATTGTGAGAAGTAAACAAATGGGCTCGTATCCTGTGCTTGGTAACTGGGTGGGGAGCAGTTTGGCAACCAGTGTTGCTTTTAAATTCTTTCTTTGGACAATGGGCCTTGTATACTTTTATATCCTGGCTTTTCAAACGTGGACAGCTTTCATGAGCTTTCCTAGGGATGGCTGCAGTGACAACAGAAAAGCCATCAGTCATTTTATATAAATACAGCATCTTTAAACATTTCATTTACAGTAAGACAGGAAACACCCTCCCTAAACTTCAACACCCCCCCATCCCCATTATTTCTTCTTCAAGAGGAGTTAGATCCTCCAACTTCTATTTTATCAGTGTTGGATTTTGTCTACCTTCCCCCCTTTTTTAAAAACTCTGGGAATTAATATCTGTTGAAGAAGAGAAAAATCATTTTGACATGAATATAACTATCATTGGGTTTTACATTAATGTGATAATGTGGGAAGGGGTGAAAACAATTGGATCATTTTAAGCATGCTGTTCTTAAAATGAAAACACTGGCTTTTCATTTAAATTTATTTAAATTTTTGTTGTTAGTGATATAGAATTTGTTTTTTGGAGTGAAACTCAATTAACTTTCTCAGTGGCATGGTAGTAAGTCTGAAATTGGTTGCTAATAGGAGAATGATGTTTTTTTTTACTGTAAAATAAACTACACGGAGACCGAAAGGAAGCCTCCATTTCTCTCTTCCCCTGATCTCTGCATCAAGGAGGCCTTGGTCCACACACATTCATGGATGGATCAGCTGGAGGTCGTGGTTGGGCTAAGTGAATGCAGTTGTTTGTAAAGTGTAGTTCTCAGCAGCTCTGGCAGGGTCGTGGAGTCCTGTTAGTTGCAAAGTCTCTCTGATATTCTCCTTAATACTTACAATTAGGAAAACGGATCTTGTTCTTTGCCTAAATGATCTTTTTTGGAGGCTACAGTTTGGGAAGAGTTAACTTCCCTTCCAAATCGTGAGCCATGATGTGGCTGAGACCTCCACCTCGATCTGATTCCTCGCAGATTAAGGATATGAGATAATTTCCCTCTATTTTTTGTTCTGCTGCACTGTATTATCTTTCTATCACTCAGATAATTACTGAGGAAATCTACATTAATTTTTTTTTGGCTGGAGCAAGGCCTGCCAAACACAGGAATGATGTATTGATGTTTTACACAACAAAAGTTTTCCTCCTGTCATTGTCCAATCAACAAAAAGATATTTGTCAAACGATAGAGCCCCTTCTTTCCAGCCCAAAGCCGGGAAGGGAAACGGGGAGGGTTTCTGAACCTCCAGCCGAGTGGAGGCATCGAAGCTCAGTGTCTCCATATGAAACCCAGTTGAGTACAGTGTTGTTTGCTAAATTATGAATGTGTGTAATTAAAATCTAGTGACTGTTTCTATGAAAGATTTACAATGTTATTTCATCGTTTGTCATGGCTAATTAACAATATTAGATGAAGTTTTTCTTCTTCAAAGGCCTGATTTTCCCCCATTTATTTATGTCAGAAGTGATAAACAGAGCAGTTAAAAGCTCGCCCGTGCATGGGAGGGAGGCAGCTGTCTGTGGCCCCTCGGGGACCGGAGTTGGGGTCCCTGCGCTCTGGCCTGCTGGGGTCTGAGGTCCCCGTGCTGACAGTCAGGGAGAGCACGCGCTGGGTGAGGGAGTGGGGCGGTCCCTTTCACACCCCTGGGGTGTGACTGACTCCACACGGTGACACCTTGACAGGGAGCGCCCCTCGCCCACCTGCCCCTTCTCTCGGGGACGTGGGTGGCGGGTGGGGCGGTCACCGGCCTGTTCGCGGCCTCACTCTCTGCCTGGTCTCTTGCAGCAGCAGCAGGTGGCTCCCCAGCAGCTGGCTTTCCAGCAGCAGCTCTTGCAGATGCAGCAGCTCCAGCAGCAGCACCTCCTGTCCCTGCAGCGCCAAGGCCTCCTGTCACTGCCGCCCGGCCAGCCCGCGCTGCCCCTGCAGCCCCTCTCGCAAGGTGGGTGTGGACGCCAAGGCTGGTGCCAGCTCTGGGCCCTGCCTGCCCCTGAGGAACTGCCCAGGAAGCCCTGCAGTCCTGGGATGGGAGGAGTCCCCACACTGCTGGTGCCAGTTGGACCCAGGTGTCCCTGAGGGAGGGGGAAGCAGTGCTCCCCACTGACAGCATTTTAATCAGATGGAATGTTTTCAGTTTGGAATTACAAATGAATTTTCTTGAAGGGGTTTTTTTTTTTTTTTTTTTTTGGCATTTTAAGCTGCATTTCATGTCATGTAACTTGTTCTGTTTTAAATCTTAGTCATGCTTTATAAATTCCACTTTCTAATATCTAGAGATAGAGTCAAGTTTATTTTTGTGTGATTATAAAAACGAAAGGTTTTTGTTGGTTTTGCTCTCTTTTTCTTTTTTACCTTTATCTGACTGTTTATTTTTGAGCAGGTTAGTTCACTCATCTGATCAGGGAGCATATATATCTATAGCTCTTCTTCAAAAATGGAAGTTCTTTAAAAAATAACAAGATTTTATAGATTTTAAATATTTTTTTTGAGAAGCTATTGACAAGTTATTCCCCTGGTTGTCGGGCATCAGCAGCGAGCACTCTGTTGTGTTTAGGACAGTCCTGGTGTAAGCAGCTCTTTCACAGGTGCGGTGCGGGCCCACCTGTGCAGTGTGGGTCCACCTGTGCGGTGCGGGCGCACCTGTGTGGTGTCAGTGTGGGCGCACCTGTGCGGTGCAGGCTCACCTGTGCGGTGTGAGTGTGAGCCCACCTGTGCAGTGCGGGCGCACCTGTGTGGTGTGAGTATGGGTCCACCTGTGCAGTGCGGGCGCACCTGTGCGGTGTGAGTGTGGGCCCACCTGTGCGGTGCAGGCTCACCTGTGCGGTGTGAGTGTGAGCCCACCTGTGCGGTGCAGGCACACCTGTGCGGTGTGAGTGTGAGCCCACCTGTGCAGTGCAGGCGCACCTGTGCGGTGTGAGTGTGAGCCCACCTGTGCGGTGTGAGTGTGGGCCCACCTGTGCGGTGCGGGCGCACCTGTGCAGTGTGAGTGTGGGCCCACCTGTGCGGTGTGAGTGTGGGCCCACCTGTGCGGTGTGAGTGTGGGCCCACCTGTGCGGTGCGGGCCCACCTGTGCGGTGTGAGTGTGGGCCCACCTGTGCGGTGTGAGTGTGGGCCCACCTGTGCGGTGTGAGTGTGGGCCCACCTGTGCGGTGTGAGTGTGGGCCCACCTGTGCGGTGCGGGCGCACCTGTGCAGTGTGAGTGTGGGCCCACCTGTGCGGTGTGAGTGTGGGCCCACCTGTGCGGTGTGAGTGTGAGCCCACCTGTGCGGTGCGGGCGCACCTGTGCGGTGTGAGTGTGGGCCCACCTGTGCGGTGCGGGCGCACCTGTGCGGTGTGAGTGTGAGCCCACCTGTGCGGTGCGGGCGCACCTGTGCGGTGTGAGTGTGGGCCCACCTGTGCGGTGTGAGTGTGAGCCCACCTGTGCGGTGCGGGCGCACCTGTGCGGTGTGAGTGTGGGCCCACCTGTGCGGTGTGAGTGTGGGCCCACCTGTGCGGTACGGGCGCACCTGTGCGGTGTGAGTGTGGGCCCACCTGTGCGGTGTGAGTGTGGGCGCACCTGAGCGGTGTGGAGTCAGTCACACCCCATTTCTGTCCCATCTGGGGTGGCTTTGTTTTTTGTGGAGGTGTTTTTACTGTGACGGCCAGGGCTTTTCCTCTGACTCCTCTTGCCTCTCCTCCCCTTTCTGCCAGACTGCTCACTTCTCCATTGCTGTCACTTTAGGAGGTTTGGTAACTGAGCAATGCCAGGGGAAACAAAGGGCATTTTGGCTAATGCATTTTTGAACGTGCAGAGTGTTACAACGTGCACTGAGACACCTTGGGTGTGTTGGAAACTGGCAGGCTGCTGTGCCACGCCCACTGGACTTGGGCGCAGCCGCTCCTCCTCCCTCCGCTGCTGGGCTGTGCAGTTGCTCCCGGGGGTTCTTTGTGGTGGCACATCCGTTAAGCTGTCCGAAGAGGGCAATTGGGCAGTGACAAGACAAGCTCCTGTGTAATGGGGAGGGAATGGACGTGGCGATGCGTGCAGTGTAAGCGCTGCGGTAACATCAGAGGCACTGTCGGTGACTCACCGGCCCGGCACTGATTGATACGCCCAGCAGTGTGCCAGGACCACGAATCCCCGCAGCAGTAGGAAGATGCGTATTTAAAATCTAAAGGGTGTCTTTATGCGTGTCCGAGGGGCACAGGCATAAATATGGAATTTCCGGAGTTGGTGCCTGCGGGAAGTGAGCCACAGCGTCGCGGCCATCTTTGGGGGAATCAGGAAGTTGGTTTTGTCTCCCCTTCCCCTCGTCCAAAAGGGCTGGAGAATTGTGGTGTTGGAAGACAATACAATTTTTTCTTTATCAAAGAGATAATGGCTTAAAACTGATACCATTATGAGGCTTAAATCAACTTTCTGCTGGAGCAGGTCACCTGGGATGGAGTGAAGGACAGAAAGGTTGGTCAGCTCTGCTGTCTATGAGCCAGTCCCGGGCTGTAAAATTGAGTTCCGTGAACGGTAATCTGTCAACTGTCCTCACAACATACATTTTTTAAACCTGTGTCTGCATTTCTTTTTATAATGGAGGGACCAGTTATCCTAGAAAAAGAAAGCTAGCAAGGGAAAGGGGAATGTGTTAATATAACTGGAAATGCCTACTTCATGATACAAACATGGAGATTCTTTCATATCCTTGCTCGTGGCATAGGCTGAGTTACCTAAAATGTGTATGTAAATATCAGAGTGTAGGAATGGAGAGCGAGAATAATGTTTTAAAGGCCCCCCCCCCCCCGAAGGTTATGAAACGGAGGCGTGTATGTAAATATCAGAGTGTAGGAATGGAGAGAGAGAATAATGTTTTAAAGGCCCCCCCCCCCCGAAGGTTATGAAATGGAGGCATATTTTTGTTGTTTGTAAGGTTGCTATAGGGCCTTCTCTGTTGTACACACTCAGTGTATGTTTTTCTCCTCGGTCTCTTTAATTATTGATCCTTTTCAGGACCAGTGCTTCCATGTTGAAATATACTTCCAATTTTATTCTGATTTTTAAGTTTTTAAGTGTATACTATCAATAGGAGAAACTTTATTGCTCAGTTATGTGTCTGTTAATGGATGTTTATTAACTCAGTACAGTTATTCCTATCTAACATTTTGGAAGGAATGCTTGCTTTCTGGAAATTTGATATCTTTTTAGTCTGATGAGTGACTAGCCTGCTTTTTATCTGTCTTCATTCTCTCACGAGATCTTGCTAGACGGGACTCTATTCATGGAACCCAAGTTTAACAATGCTATCAAGGTGTAGCACTGATGGAGGACACTGATTTGATTGCTTCCTTCTAAATCTAATGAATATTCTTAAATTTGATTATCATATTGAAATTTGACCCAGAAGTCCATAAGTTACTGTTTTATTTACCATTTCTCCCTGTGGACGATGATGAACCTGATTCATCCCACTGGAATAAAAGGGAGTCGAGCAATAGGAATGTTCTCTTAGGTGTTAACAGGACATCTGCTGGGCTTTATTTGCTAGATACACAGCTTCCTGTTAGTTTGTATGTAATTTTTAATAGGCTTAATTCCTCTTACTTTTTAAATGGCTTCAAAGTTCTGTTCTTCTATATCAGAGCAAAAGTGTTAACACAGTTGTTAGACTTTCCACTTCCCAGGCCACTGACCCGGATGAGTGGAAAAATAGGCGGTTTGTGCTTTTCAAGTGTCCACTCCCTGGAAAATAAAAACAGATGTTGACTTGCATGGCTTTGTATCGATATGCTATCTCCAACAGCCAAGCCTGCTCACTGTTGTCCCAGGCGGGTGAGCAGTGGTCGCGGCCAGCGCTCACCGAGGATGGCTGGTGTGCGCGGCGGTGCAGGCCCGGCAGGCAGGCCACTGGCTGGGCGTCGGAAAAGCATCACCCAGGTGCCCAGAACCGGCCATGGGATTCTGGAATGACCTTTCCCTTTGTTTAATTTGCCTTCGAGGTTTAATTTCAAGGGACAAGTAATAATTGAATATGCCTAATAACTGAATGCTCATTTGGGACAAAATCCATCAAAATATAATTGGCATTTGATTTTTATGAAGGAAGAAGAAAACCGACCTGGCTGTTGAGGATGCGTTCTAAGAATATCTGACCACTTAATGTATCATTTGCAGCCTCCATTATAGTACATATTAATTGCAAATCCTTAAGTATTTGAACATTTTTTGTGGGGAACCATTGGGAGAGATCAACTGTTTTTGTTACCACTCCTCTCAGAAAGGCGGAGAAGGTTATTGGTCTGCTGTGCAATAATTCACTCCTCTTTGATATGCAAACGATCCACGGTGAACATAAAAAAATCCTATCAGACTCATTTCACAGTTCTTAGCCACTCGGGCTCTCTGGAGCCCTGCGCCTCATTAGACGGTGCTCGCCAATGCCGGCATAATTAAAATCTTTAACAGTTTAGCAAAGTAAAGATGTTTGGCTGATCACGTTGAGATGATTATCTATCCATTGTATTCTAAATGACAAAAATAAATTAAATTTAGACCTTGGCATTTTTTATTATGTGTTTCAAATGAATATAATGCACACAGCCTTCTTTTAAAATTCAGTCCCTTAGACTCGGTAAGAAACACGCTGTTTCACTTGCTGTATGTAGTCAGAAAATGGCCAGCTCTCCAGATCGGGTAGTACCTGGGGGACTGAAACCAGGAGCCCCGCCCCGTTGTGCGGGATTGCCAGGCGAGGTGCGGACGCCCAGCAGTCACGCCTTCCCTTGGGGCCCTCGCACCGCGAGCTGAGCTTGTGGTTGTCATGTGCGTGGTTCCCTGTGCATTAGCAGTACACGGGACTGTCGAGAGGCGTGCCAGCAGGATTGAGGCTACGAGGCCACAGGAGTGAGACAAGCATACTCACTGTCTGTCTTCCTGGGGATTTAAAGTATGGTTTGACACTTGCTCCTTAAGACCCATGTCCACTTTGACCCCGTTAAAAAACAAGAGAACTTTGTACTCCAACTTTATGTTTTCATTTTATTCTGCGACGGCTCATTGGCGCTGATCTAAGAAATGACAGTAATAATAGTGTTACTTGTATAAAAAGTTATACAGTTTTTCAGTAGACACATCCATCAATTAAGCATGTGGTACTAGAAACCAAAATTAATGAGGAAGATAGGTGTGTTAATGAAATAATCATAGTATAATCAATTTGACTGTTAAAAGTTGAAAAGCATTTCAGGAAGATGATATGAATTCATAATTTATGTCTAAAAGTGATTAATAAAAACTATATTTAATAACAAAGCTATTTGTCATCATTTAAGACTTCAGCACAAAAATTATTCATTTTTTGGTTCATGTTGTCATAATAGTATTGTTGAACACATTTATTTTGAGTCCTTCTTTGTGTCTAAAAATATATAGCATCTATCCACATTTTTCCCAAAAAATCTGGAAACCACCGGGACGGAGGCTCGCTGTGGGCTGCAGCCCAGGGCACCTCACCTGCGCCCGCTCCCGGGAGGAGAGGCTGGCACGGACCCTTGGCTTTCCGTGGGCGGCCAAGAACTGCAGCCCCAGAGCCCCCTGACACTGGGCTTTGTTTACTGACTCTTGGATTTAATTACTGTTTGAAGAAGACGGAATTGGCTGTTAATTGATTTAATTATCCAATTTGTTTGTTTCAGGCATGATTCCAGCAGAACTGCAGCAGCTCTGGAAAGAGGTGACGAGTGCGCACCCTGCCGAGGAGACCACGGGCAGCAGCCATGGCAGCGTGGATCTGACCACGGCCACCTGCGTCCCCTCCGCCCCTGCCAAGACCTCCCTCCTCATGAACCCACATGCCTCTACCAATGGACAGCTCTCAGTCCACACCCCCAAGAGGGAAAGGTAGGAACCAGCCACTGAGATGTGTCCAACACCGTCTGGCACATGGGCGTGAGGGCGCCTCACCATGTCTCCACAACCCCTCGTGGGCTCCGTGGGACTTGCATGTGCATATGATCCCTTAAGGATGTCCTCAGTATCGTTGGGTGTGAGCACCTAAGAGTTCCCACCTTTCCAACATGGCGTGAGCACTGCTGTGGCTCCACCTAAACTGCGGCCCAGCCGGAGGCCCTGCATGCTCCTTGGATGGCTGGCTGTAGGGCTTCCAGGCTTCCTCTCTGCCCAGCGCTCACCATGCACGCTGGTTGCCTTGGCTCCAGACCCCTCTGAGGGAACAGCAGTGCCCGCCGTGGGCAACGTGGAGTCCTGGTTGAGAAGCATGAAACTTACGCTGCTCCGCACTGCCCTCCTCGAGGCAGGGAGCCCATCTGTGCATTACGGTGTGCCCCCAGCCCTGGCCTTCTTAGAGTGAACCCGCTGAAGCCACGAGGCGGGGGCGGAGGCCCCGTGAGCACAGGGACCCGCCGCCCCCTTCCCGTGGCCGCAGTGCATGCCAGGGTCTAGCTGTGCTTCCATCGCCCCGAGCCCCTTTGGGCTGCTGAAGCGCAGGTGGTGGGAGGCCCCCTGGGAGCATCGCTGAGGGAAGAGCGCTGACGCCTCCTGTGATGCTTTTCAGGAGGAGAATGTGCCTGTGCAGATAATGCTCTTAAAATGAGAAGGTTTTTTTAGTTTACTATTTTTAAATCATTTCCTATACATCACATAATGAAAAGCTTCCATAGACAGAGGGGATCTTAGAAGTAAAATGTGATAGCATTATTACCATGAGAAAAAACAAATTTTACATTTTTAATAGTAGTGACTCAGTGAACGTTTTAAAATTATCTTTTCACTTAAGCAATTACAAATATAATTTTATGTATTTCTTGAAATATCAAACATCAGGAAGCCCACTGCTTTAATTAGGTTTGTATCTTTATACCAGCAACGTTTTATCCATGTAGAGTTTACTAATCACAGACAACATTGTCTAAATACGTGTGTGTGTGCGTGTGTGTGTGAGAGAGAGTCACATTCAAGTGTAACACCCTCGAGAGGTTCCCCAAATGAGGTTTAGGTGTGCTTTAACCAGACCTTTCAGCTTGCATTTTAAGATCATTGGAATCTCTGCAGAAGGCAGAGAGGACCGAACGTGCTGTAGGCCGCGGGGGGGCGGGGGGGGGGGCGGTGAAGAACGGGGTGGGGCAGGCAGAATCAGCGTGGAGCCACTGCCCAAAGGAGACTCTGATGTTCCCAGTAGGGAGGATTGGAGTGTCTGGAAGCCAATCATGGCTCTTGCTTTACCGTCTTTTATAATGTCTCTGTCTTTAAAAAAAAAAAACACCGCCCTGAGGTGGCTTTGGGGAGAAAGCCCCAGGCGTCCCCTTGCTGCGTGTGTATTGGTGTCCTGGGGCCCGTCACCCCTGCCAGGCGTGCTCCAGAAATGCCCGAGGCCTGGGGGTGCGGCACAGTCTGTGGGGCGGTGGATCTGCACAGAGTGCCCCCGACACACACCCTCCTGCCTGGGTGCAGGGTGCCCGAGGCCTGGGGGTGCGGCACAGTCTGTGGGGCGGTGGATCTGCACAGAGTGCCCCCGACACACACCCTCCTGCCTGGGTGCAGGGTGCCCGAGGCCTGGGGTGCGGCACAGTCTGTGGGCCGAGGTGGATCTGCACAGAGTGCCCCCGACACACACCCTCCTGCCTGGGTGCAGGGTGCCTGAGGCCTGGGGGTGCGGCACAGTCTGTGGGCCGAGGTGGATCTGCACAGAGTGCCCCTGACACACACCCTCCTGCCTGGGTGCAGGGTGCCCGAGGCCTGGGGGTGCGGCACAGTCTGTGGGCCGAGGTGGATCTGCACAGAGTGCCCCTGACACACACCCTCCTGCCTGGGTGCAGGGTGCCCAGCTTCCTGCCAGAGGTGTGTCCACAGCAGGAGGCCGGGGGAGGAGAACCCTTTTTGTGTCTGAGCGCATTTGAAAGGAAATTCATCTAACAGACAGTCCAACTCCAGAAAAAGTTGTTCGCCTTTTTTTCTGTGGCCCTTGTTTGTCTGCACAAAACTTGAGTGTAATCCTCGGTATACTGCAAGTCAGAATTAGAACACGGATCAGAAAAGACCAGGCCTCTCTGAGCTTAGTCGGGGGTAAAAGCAGGCTGAGCGTTGGAGTTGATGTGCGGGTGTGACAATACCTGCCACTGCTCTCAGTTTAGATTTCTGTGGATTCCTAGATGTGGCTGCATTAAAAGAAAATTCTAAGTAGCACATTTAAACTGAATGTAGCAAATAAGACAAATGAGCACCTTAGGTTGAAGATAATGCAGAGTTATAACCTTGCAGAACTGATCATTAAAAATTCAACCATCATGCATAGATAGGTACTTATAAGAATGTGATAGGTTCTTGCCTGGTTCAGGTTAATTTCTAAATCGTGTGTGGTGTCCTGTTTAAGTAGTGGACACAGTCAGAAAGCGATCACCGTAACTCCAGGTTCTCGCTGCCACCCAGAGCTGCTGCTTGTCAGGAGCCCCTGGGAGCTGGTCTCACCTCAGTCCTCGCCGTCCTGAGCATCCCGCCTGGGCTGGCACTGCCCACGTTCCTGAGGGATCAGAGTGGCAGGCGTGGGTGGCTTTTTGGGAAGGTTTGTTGGGAAAGGCAGTGTCTGGGCTGTTTGTTTTGGATGCAGTCCGTGCAGCCCCTTCTCCAGCCCTGGCCGTGCACCCGGCCTCCTGCTCGCAGCACGGCAGATCTGGGCCTCAGCGAGCTGCAGGCTGCTGCGGACATAAGTCACGCACTGGCATGCCACTCCCACTCTCCTCTTTAATTTTCTTACGCAGGAAAATTGTAATTAAAACATTCAGGGTAAACCCTTGAGTGTGGAGCAGGGAGAAGCGTGCTTTGGTGAAGGTGGCTGGTGGAAACCCACTTCCCTGCTGTGCAGGGCGCCCTCCTGGCCCTGTGGCTGGATGAGTGGCCCTGCCCGTTGGGGGCAGTACCAGCCCCGGGTCCAGACTTCCTAACGCCCTGTCCCTGTGCGTCGGACAGTCAGCATCAGCACTTTCAGAATTCAGGTCTTTCTCCCACAATCAAGTCCCGTTTGCTGTGCTGATGATGAATACATTCATTGGGCTGTGACCCGCCTGCGTCCCCAGGGCCTGAGAAGTGGGGTGGGCAGAAGCTGAAGGGCCTGGCAGAGGAAAAGGCACCTTCCTGGCTCCGCTGCCATGTCCTTCCCCAGGACCAGGGGCCAGGCTTCGGAGGTCGCTGAGAAAACTCAGACCGAGGTCCCTGTAAACATGACACGATTACCTTGTTTTCTTTACTCGTCTGACTGTCTTGCTTTAGGAAATTCCGAGTTTTGTGTGGGTAAATAAAATCCACAGCATGCAAATGAAACATTTATGAAAATGCTAAATTTAGTAAAGCCCTTGGAGCTTCTTGGATCAAAGCAGCTATGTAAATACAAATAGCAATTACTACTTAAGTAATTGCCTGAATTAAAATTCTAAATATCACATTATGTTACGGTGCACTGGGGAAGGGAAGGTAGCTCACACTTATTAATCAGTCTTCCTCTGCACAGGCGAGGGCTGAGTGATGGCTCATTGAACCACATGACTGCCAGGAAGCTTAGGGGTTAGCGTCTCCATTTCACAGACAAGGAAATTGAGTCGTAGAAATTAAAGAACTGGTCTGGGGTCACAGACTGAATAGTGGCATATCCAGGCTCCAAATTCAAGTTGCTCTCCTAGTTTATAAATCAGCACTTGAAGTTCTGTTCAGCTTAGAGGTGAATGTAGTCATGTACTCAATGCTGGGGCAGTCAACGCTGGGCCCCATAAGATGGAAACAGAGCTGAAGAGTTTCTGTCGCCAAGTGTATCTTAATGTCAGCGCACAGTGCGTGACGCGTGTCGTGGTGCTGCTGGTGCAGGCAATCCCGCTGCTTGCCCTCCTGTAAAAGTGAGCCCGCAGCTCACCCAGCACGGGCACTCGCTGACCGGCTGCCGCGGTATCCGCGCTCACTGCTGCCATTTCGTCATGTGAAGCAGTGTGTTACTCAGGCGGCAGCCTGCCGTCTCTGTGCACACGTGTCCGGACCGTGCCGTCTCCTCTGGCGCCGGAAGCCTCCGTGTGGCTGTGGGTGACGTGCTGTGCAGGCCTGCAGCCCGGGAGCCGGGGGCTGCACGTGTGGTTGGGCTCAGTGGGCAAGGCCGTCCCGGCTTGTGGGGATGCCCCCCCCCCCCCCCCCCGTGTTCACAGGACAGCAGCACCCCCTGATAACCCGTTTCTCAGAGTGCATTCCTGTCCTTAAGCATCACACGACTACTTGTGATGAACTAACATCAATATTCCTAAAAGAAAATTTAAATTTAATTTAAAATTAATTCAGTAAAGCTGCTGTGTGCACATCAGCACATTTTAAGGAAAAGAGCAGTTTCCTCTTCACTTGGATACAGACGTTTTCTAGGCCTTTCATGAAGGCCTAGACATTATTTCCGTCTGAAGCAGCACGTGAGAAACAAAAATGACCCGTGCAAGACTTGCACACAGGCAGGTGCACAACAAGCCTCTCTCCCTTTAAAGCGTCCCCATTTTCTTTCCGCCTGGTAAGTCCCCCCTTCCTGGCGGTACCTCGGGGGTCTCGGCTCTATTCCCGCTGCCCCCTTGGGCCACACTGGAAATGCTCCTTGTGTGGTGGTCCCAGGTTTTTGCTCTCAGCTGACCCATGGGCAGCAGCTGTGCTGTAAGGCGTGCTTCTGGGAGGAAGGCCTAGCTCTGCTCAGGATTGGCTCCAGGCCTTCCGGAAGCAGCGGCAAGGTCGTCAGCCTCCGGGAGATCGCCTTGTCCGGCCTCTGCAGCTGTCAGCTGTCCTCGCTGTCAGCTGTCCTCACAGTCAGCGGACCAGGCCGGCCCCCTCCTGGGGTCCCTGCCTCCGTCCACTCACCACGCCTCTGCCTGCGC